TGGATCAATCTACTTGATTCATCATTAATTTCTGTATCTTTGAGGTTATCTTCTGAGTCTTAGAGATGGAGGCTCATATTAAGTGAAGAAGCACAAAACAACAAAGACAAACAAACAAAATATCTAAAATTAAATATATTGACAGCTCATCAGGACTGTCTCTTACATTCCAGGGGCACAACAATACCCTCTAACATAATAATTCTTCAGGTTTGTTCTACTTCTTAGTTCAGTTTTTATATCAAACTCTGCCTGCCTAGCAGAGATATCACCAAATTTTTAGTGATTCAGTTGTCTATTAATATATCTTTTGACAATATGCTATCAAAGTAACAATTAGCAATAGTACCACAAGATTTCTTACGGAACTTTTAAAGTAGCAGCTGAATTCCTTGATTTGTCTTTAAAACTCCAATTTTTGTTTACTTTTAAGCTAAATCAAAACTATTTTCTGAGCAGCTTCAAGAAAAGAACCATGAATAAAACTCTTATAATGACATTTTAGAATCATGTGTGGCAACCATGCAGATTAGCACTGACACAATTTCCAAGAGCTACTAAAGATAGATCTTATGCAATTGGGCCAAATGAGTGGGTGGATTTTTTTTTTTTTAAGTGGGGCCATGACCTCTGAGATCTTCTGTTGTTTTCACTATGATCTATAAACTGAACAAAGTGCTATTTTCTTTTTCATAGAAGTAGGCCATTACTTGTCTGGGACCAAGGCATTGCATAGGAATGAAGGCATATTGTTTTTAACAGCAAATATGGGCTACTTGTGCCTCCTCTCCTATGTCCCATGTCCAATCAAGGTAAACAATTGCTATGACAATTTATATTTCTAATCTTCGACAATTCTAATTTGCCATAATATTTTTTGATGATCTAGGACTCTGCTGCAGAATCCTTCTAATCAGCAATAATTAAATTGCTATCAGTCAATTGAAGCTGACAAGCAAGATGGAACTTGACTGCCATTGCTGGTCAAGACCTTCCCTTTTCACACTTGATTTAAGGCAGGCATCAAATGTGATTTTCCTGGAGATAAAAAAGTGAAGTGAGAATATAAAGATAACCAGAATTCAGTTCCTCCTTGAGGGGGCTCACAATGGAGTATTGGGGACAGATATGTGGAACAAGTGAGGTTCCTTCACATTCACACTTTAATCTGATTCTACAGTTTAAACAAGAAAGGGAAGATGGAAAAGAACATGTGCTTCATCTATGTCATCCTATGCAAGTATGTGGGAGTACAAAGCTTTTACCTCCTACCCAAACTGAGACCAGGCACATAAACATATTTCATTCAATCACAGTATGGAGAATGATCTCTTCGAAATGTTACAATAAACAAGGATTTAATGTTAACAACAGATACAAAAATTTAGCCAGTTAGGCACAAATAGCCAAAATAACAGGCTTACTACAAATCCTGTATTTGACATGGAGCAAATCCAAGCATAGCACTGGAATGCACGAATTTACCATATAAAAAATTTAAGAAAGTTTTTCCATGATCCTCAAAGTGAATCTCAAAAGCACAACGTCCAGCAACGGACTACACAAGCCGAAGAGGGATATGGAGAAAGTGGAAGGGATTCAACAGAGAGTCACAGAGATGATTAAAGGGTTGGGAATATGGGAGCTAGAAATTATTTAGCCTAAGTTAGAGAAGACTACCAGGTTTCTTAATAACAGTATTCAAGCATAGGAAGGGTTGTTATATACAAGATGATGAACAGTTGCTTTCTATCTTAACTGGAGAGTGGAGAGAAGAAACAGACTTTGGCTACAGCATGAAATATCTAAGTTAGACATAAAGAACTTTTAAGAATGAGGATTATTGGATCAGAGACCTCAGGATCCTCTTATTACACCTATTCCTTAAATGATGCTGTTTCAGAGGGTCCTTCTTAAACTCTTTCTCTTTTCACTTTGTCCTTAATTAATTTTATTTACATTGATTTAAATTACCTATTATAAGCTGATAATCATAACATAAGTATGTTTGGGGGTATACATATAATATATATAATCTATATATTATATGTATAATAGATATTACAGTGTATATAGTATATACAGATTATACTACAGTATATATAGCATATACTACGGTATACCACAATATTTATATAGTATAGTATAGTCTATACACTGTATGTATCTCCAGTCCAGACTACTTTCCAAATGCCCCCTGGACATCAGGCTTCTGTCTTTTACCTGTTCTACTGCAATAGCATCATAACTGATAACCCTATCTCTTCCAATCTTCAATTCCATGCTTGGTCTATATCTTGGTGTGAACCTTTCTATCTAAAAGCAAGTCCAAGCATTTCCCTGCTTACAATTTTCTGATAGATCCCATTATTTACTTGGTTTCCATCATTTGGCCCCTTAACCTATCCATTATCATACCCTGTTATAATCACTCCCCAAATGTTATTAATTCTAAGAGAATTTCACTCCTTTCATCCTGCTGTGCTTTTACAGATCTGTGCTTTGTTAAGTCTCAGTACTCTTCACTCCTCCTAGAACATACCACCTCCCTTTTTTCTGTATTCAACTTCTCTACAGCGCCAGGAATTTTTCATTGACCTTACCACATTGGACTAGTGACCCTCAATAAATGCTCATGAATTTCCGTGAAAACTTGCTTTGAATACTTTAATGTCGTAGCTAGTCTAAGAGCCTTCCCAGACTTCAGATTCAGTAATTGCTCATTTAGAAAACACCTAGGTAGCTTGCTGATAGAATCTAGTGATCAACCTTCAAGAGTGGTATATAGCAAACTCTTGGGTTTATCATACTAGATTCTGGCTGCCATTCATTTGACACTCCCTGCATAATTTCCTTAGGCATTTCCATATCACTTTGCTACTACTGGACCTAGTGCCTTTTCCTCCATCTTTTGGCCTGGCACAATTATTGACACATATACTTAGGCACTTTATGTGCATCTTCTCCAACTAATTTCCTACAACACTCCTGTGAGGCAGGATTAGTGTGTCCATTTTACAGGTGCAAAAGTCACCACTTATCCACAGATGACATAAATGTATGTGAATGTGTGTATGCATATATGTATATTTATGATACATATATATCCTATAAGCTCTAGTGTACTTAACATGTTCTCATAAATATCTCAAAGGAGACTCAAAATGAAATTTCCAAACATGAATTCATAACTTTACCCCCAGACTTTGCTCTTCGATGTTATCTGTTTTAGTGATTGGTGTCAGACACTTAAGAGTCATCCTCCACACTTTACTCTTCTTTAATCCCCATATCCAATCCATCACCAACTTATATAAACTTTCCCTTCAAAATATCTCTTAAATTTGTGCAGTTCTCTCCACTTTTACCATTATGAATCTAGTCCAAGTTTTCATCATCTCTTACAATAGCCTCTATTTCCTTTAGTCCTCATCTTATCCGTTATCTACAGCCAAGATGATCTGAAAATCCATATCTGATCGTGGTGCTTCATGCTGTCCCTTTTTCCTACCGCATTCAAAAGTCCTTTAGCAGTTTCCCATTGTTCTTATCAAAAAAACAAACTTAAAACTGCTCTTCAATGGATCACATCCACTTCATCACAAGCCTACCTTTACTCCTGCTCTCTCCTCAACTGCTCCATCCACTGGTGCTTGCTTTCTATCCTCCAAGCCTCATTCTTCTCCAGGCCTCTAAACAGGCTGGAAGGCTATCTCTCTTTTCCATTTCTCTGAGTTAACTCTTACTTATCTTTCAGATACCACTTTCCCAGAGAAATCTCTGATCACTCTCAAAATGCCAAGTGTTATTATAAGCTCCAAAACCACATTTTTCTCCTTCATCTCTCCTCCTTTCTTCTTTACATTTGTTTTCGTGATTATTGATGGTCAACTTCCTCTTCCTCTTGCATCATGAGAGCAAGAACTGTCTACTCTTTTTTTAAAAAAAATATTTTATTTATTCATGAGAGAGAGAGAGAGAGGCAGGCAGAGACACAGGCAGAGGGAGAAGCAGGCTCCATGCAGGGAGCCCAATGCAGGACTCAATCCCAGGACTCCAGGATCATGCCCTGGGCCAAAGGCAGGCGCTAAACCGCTGAGCCACCCAGGGATCCCAGAAGTGTCCATTCTTGCTCACTATTTTATCTCTGGTACCTATCTCTACTACCTGGCATGTAGTGTTCGAAGAATTGCATAAATTAATTTGTTGGCTTGTATTTGCTAGGCAATGAGCTGAGTGCTTTACATATAGAATTTCATTAAATGTTCACAACACATTTATAAGGTTACTGCCTTTCTATTATTAGCTCCATTTTATTTTTATTTTTTTTTAAGATTTTATTTATTCATTCATGAGAGATACAGAGACAGAGAGAGGCAGAGACACAGGCAGAGGGAGAAGCAGGCTCCATGCAGGGAACCCAATGTGGGACTCGATCCTAGGGCTCCAAGATCACGCCCTGGTCCAAAAACAGATGCTCAACCCCTGAGCCACCCAGGTGTCCTTATTAGCTCCATTTTAGACATGAGAAAACTAGGGTCTAGAGATACAAAGTAATTTTCTCAAGTCTTTGCAAGATGAAAACTGAAGTCCTCTACGGTAAAACCATAAGCCCATCATTTGTGGATATCTTTGTAGGCATAAATATATTAATGAATGTGGTATCAAGCACATAAGCAGGAAGAAGTCTCTGAATCTCAAATTGATAATTTGTGTCTCTTGAGCAAACCTGAAAATCCTGAAATATTTAAAGAGTCAACAACAGAATCCCACGGTTGTTAGGTTAGGTTCCTTGAACAGAAGAAAAAAAGTAGCCTGGACCTGAATTGTACTTGTTCAGTGAGCCTAATTGTTCCACTGACCAGTGAGGCATAGTAACTTTGCACAGTACAACACTGACTGTGACTGGCCTGGGGGAATATATCTCAGAGCAGTCAAAAAACTTATCAAGCCAAAATTAATGAACTGATTCTCATTTCACCAAAAGGAAAACAACTTACCTCACTCATGCCAACTATCCTTGTTCATGCAGAAGACTCCACTAACCCCTTGCAAGTAGTAAGTAGTGCAACAACTTTGAGCAGTTGATCCAAAGGTGCTTATGGAATTTTCCTTCTACACCCACACTGTCTGGTCCACTCCTTCTGAGAACAGAGGCATAATGGTGCGGCCATTCTTTATGGCTCTTGTTGCAGGAGTAATATCTCAAGTTTGAGGCAAATTTTATGTTGGTTGATCACGAATGCTTGCAAGGGCTTCGTCTTCATTTCTGTAAGTTGTGTTAAGGGTTTTTAGATTATCATTACATCTTTTATGAAATTATTTTCATCATGACTACTGAGTTCTCAGTAGACCTGGGAGGCTGGTGGGTACGTAATCTGTAGTTTATGATAAAGTCTTCAGAAGATCCACTAGCTTAGGATTTTGAGAAATAGAAATAATTTGTTGAACTCAAATAATATGGTCTCAGATCTATAACTCAGGTTGGGGCATCCCAAAACTGGGTTCATTCACTATAATTGAGATATATTAGATTTTTGGACACTATCTCAAACCAACTTGGGGGGCACCTGGGTGGCTCAGTTGGTTAAGCGTCTGCCTTCAGCTCAGGTCATGACCCCAGGGTCCTAGGATTGAGCCCCATGTTGGGCTCCCTGCTCAGTGGGTTGTTTGCTTCTCCCTTTCCCTCTTCCTCTCTCTCTCAAATAAATAAATATTTAGTACACAGTAAAAACTAAAAAAAAAAAAAAAAAGTCTCTAAAGTGCTTGTTGGCTATGTTCACTAAACTAGGGAGTAAACTGGTTATCTCCATTCCTCAGTAATTCCAGAATATTGTTTTATAAAATAAACATTCCTCTTTACATTCTATTAGACCAGTGGTTCCCTCAGGGTTTTGAATTTTGTTGAGTTAGTAAAAATAACTTTTAAAAAGCATTTTAAGGAAAAAACAAAGAAAAGAACATTAAAAATAAGGTTACCATCCATTAACATCAAAATTTCAAAACATATATTAAGTCTAAACAATGAGAAAGTATATAATTTAAGATAATCTTTTAAATTGAACAAAGTTAACTTTATGAAAATTTTTCTCGTTTTTTTTTTTCCATTTCACTATCAGCTGGTGAAAAATAGGCCAGTGTCCTCCCCAAAATAGTTCTGAAATACTATGTACCCTTTTATACATTTTTAAGGTAGCACCTGAAATATTTTCATTATAAGTTCAAATTGTTGTAATGAATGTCATTTCTGACGTGTTATAAATATTGACACTACAAAATAAAATATCTTAGAAAATCCATCCAATGGAATCTTATTCCATATTTATTTAATACCCACCATCATTCATTTAAAAATATATTAACATTCGAAAAATTTACATTATTTCTTTATTTCCATTCTATTTCCAGTTTTATGACATTTAAACTCAGAAGTCTATTATCAATTGAAATTCAATTTAAAAAATTTCTGTAATCCTAAATGTTATACCCTGAAATGAGTTACCATTATAATTACTAGTGCACATTTGAACAAAGCAACATAAACATATTAATATTAAACATGATATAAACATTTTTGAAAATACATTTTTTAATTAGCCAAGTTTCTTCAACTAATTAATGTGGTAAGAATATGTTTGCTGTGCTGAGAAAGGGTTTGTCATTCTATTCCTTTTTTTCTTCTTCTGAAGAAGTGCTGAGAATATTTGTTCACAAAAAATTATGACGGGAATAGAAGGGGTTTTGTTTTTGCTACTTCACAAAATTCTTTAAACTCCCTCCAAGTTATGTGTAAAAAACCTTTAGTGATCTATTGTTGAAAACTACTTTTAATGATTAACTGACACTTTGGTTTAAGTCCTCCTTCAGTTTTGTTGAAAGCTAAAGCTGAAAACCATTTGCAAAAGTGTAGCTACCAAGTAATTAGGGACATTTTACTTGTCTCTGATGCCCCTTTTCCGTCCTGGGGCAATGTTAACACAGTAAGATTAGAGGTGGGGGAAAGGTGTGCCTTTTTTTGGTGAAAGGGGAAAAGGATGATTGCACAGGGGAAGACGGGTTCTTTAGCAGCTCAGTTTTGGAAAAACAGTGCATATGGAAGTTGGAAGCCTGACTACTAATTCTTTTAAAAAACATCTATGTACTGCTCACACATCTCTTAGAAATTCCTTGTAGACCTCCAGAGCTGAGCACACCTCAGTTTGAAGAGCACAGACCAGGCCTATTAACTTCAAAGTGTGGTATTTTCTGACCTTGTCATTACCTCATTACCTCCAAATTCTGGGGGGGAGGAAGTTAACTTATTGGAAATTCAAGCCCCCTGTGAAATTATTGCATGAAGTTGTGTAGAATGTCCTGCTATAGGACATTTCTTCATAATACTGTACCTTTATGGCCCTGGCATCTTTCTCCCTTCCATGTTTTCTCACCTGATCCTTCTGAAGGTAGCTGGTTTGTATCTGTAAACTTATGAGAGGTGGATTAGTGTAAAATCTGCGGCTACTGATCAGAGTCTAGTTAATCAACCTATCAGGGAAATGAGTTTGTAAACCAAACAGTATTTATAAACTAATTATTTGGGATGGATCTCCTATAAAAATTGATAACATAGGGACCTCTGGGTGGCTCAGTAGTTGAGCGTCTGCCTTTGGCTCAGGGCATGATCCTGGGGTCCTGGAATGGAGTCCCACATCAGGCTCCTCGCAGGTCTGCTTCTCCCTCTGCCTGTGTTTCTGCCTGTCTCTCGGTGTCTCTCATGAATAAATAAAATCTTTGAAAAAAAATTGATAATGTATACGTTGTTTTAAGTAATTGAGTTTTCAATAAAGATAAATATTAAATCTCTACCCCTACTTCATTGTTCTCATTCTTTATAGCTGATACAAAAATTCACATGGTAAACATCATATATTTTTGTACAACTCACATATACAAAGAAGGTGTTTTATTTTTTACCTCATCCTTCTCAGAGAATGGTGAACTAACCCTTATTTGTGATTAAAACATAAACTGCAATCAAAATGGTCAGCTACCATTAAATTCCGATTTTCAAGTATTTTTTTTAAATGCTACTCACCTAATTTTTAAATTAAAAAAATTTTTATTTTTTATTATTTTTTTATTTTTTTAATTTTTTTTTAAGTAGGCTCCACACTCAATGTGGGGCTTGAACTCACAACCATGAGATCAAGTAACACACTCTACCAACTAAGCCAGCCAAGCACCCCTGAAGTTTCAAATATTTTTTATTAAAACCATAACTTCACAGATAAAGCAACATTTCATTTGTGTATATTTTTAATGACCTGGTGTAGTAGTTGTAATGAGAATTACTTTTATTTACTAGCTTTAGTTCTTAAAGACTTCAATCTTCCTACAACTGTATACTTTTAGAAATGCCTTACATTGCACAGCACGCAAATATTATCAACACTTAATATCTACGGTATTTCTACTAGTTTATTCTGATCAGTTTATTCTGTAAGTTCAAGATTGTGTATACCTAGTGTTTGCAAATTTACACATTCATATATTGATTCATTTGACAAATCCTTACTGATTGTCTGCGATGTTCACAGTCACTGTTTCTAGATATGGAAATACAATATTGAGCAAAACCAGAAATAGTCCTTGCTCTCTTGTAGTTTTGGTTTATTGAGGGAACATGCAATAATCAAATAATTACACGTTTAAAAATTGCAATTATGACAAATGCTGTAAAGGAGAATTAGAAAAGCCTGAGAGAATCTGCAACAGGATATTTGAATATTGGTGGGTGTGGGTGATTAAGAAAAGCTGCCCTGAGGAAGTGATCTAAGGATGAATGTGAGTTAATTAGGAGAAAGGAGGGGAAAACATTACTGACAGGGAACAGTTTGTACAAAGGCCAGGCAGGTATCAGAGCAAACATGAAGGAAAGAAAAAGGCTAGCTTTGGGAGGAAAATGTTAAGAGGTCGGGGGAAACAGGCATGAGATGGGGCTGGAGTATGAAAGGCCTACTCGACATTACAGGCATTTAGAAAGCATTTTGATACGTAGACCAACAGAAAATAACTGAGACCTTTGTAGGGTTTTAAGCATGAGTGTGGGTGGGGTGATAGGATCAGATTTGCATTTTGAAAAGATTACTGGCTTCACTGTAGGAATGGATTAGAGGGCAGGGTGAGAATGTATGGTTTACTGAGATAGGTGCTTCTCTGAACATATGCATGTAAACTTCAGACTTTCAAAAATCAGGTTTTAAAGGGATTGGGATTTTCTAAGAAAAGAAACACTGGTTTTTATCTCTTCAATCTTTTGTTTATCTTTTAGGGGCAAGGCAAAATGGGTTCACAGAGAGTGGGGGGTGGGGTGGGGGAGGAATGAATAATACTCCTTCCCAGAAGTCCTGGGAAAAAGCGTGTCATCAATTATAAAAGTTAACTTTTTCTCCCAAAATGAAAATAGCTTTATTGATTTTTTTTGGATTGCATACCCAATATAAATTATATTCTCAATATACAGCAGTACAGAAAGTGTGTCAAGAAATTTTTTTAGAAACTGAAATTCAGCTACTGAGATAATTATTGTTTCCATTCTGGTGATCATCCTTACTTATCCTTTTAAACTACTTTCCTTGCTAGTATTCACATATGAACTTATGCATATATTCTAGGGACCGTAGTATCAATAAATATTAATTGGATGAGTTAATTATTCCTATTATATGTGTTAATATATAGCTTTTTTCACTCAACAATAAGCCTTGGGCTCATAAAACACCACATTAACCTTTTTAATGGTTGGTCAATAATTCATTATAAGCATGTGCCCCACACTGATGGAAACTCAAGTTATTTAGGCTTATAAACAGTGCTATAACGAACATCCTTGCACAGACATTTTATTTTTTATTTTTATTTTTTTAAATTTTTATTTATTTATAATAGAGAGAGAGACAGAGGCAGAGACACAGGCAGAGGGAGAAGCAGGCTCCATGCACCGGGAGCCTGACGTGGGATTCGATCCCGGGTCTCCAGGATCGCGCCCTGGGCCAAAGGCAGGCGCTAAACCGCTGCGCCACCCAGGGATCCCAGCACAGACATTTTAATATGCCTATCTATGATACATTTCTAGAAAGGAAAATGCTGGGTGAAAAGATACATATTTTTTTTTTCTATTTTGGTACATATATAGCCAAACAGCCTACCAGATAAGTTATTCTATATTCCCATTTATTTTACTATACCTTTAATGAATTAGAAAATTACATATTCACTGGTATTTTTATGTGCACTCCTCTGATTACTGACCAAGTCTGCATATCTTCCCATACTTTCTAATCATTTGTATTTCTTCTTATATAAATTTCTATATCTTTTGCACCTTTTCTTCTTCTACTAGATATGTTTGACCTATTGACTTGTAAGAGCACTTTGTATATTAGTGATATTAAGCCTTTGTTTTTTAAGATTTTATTTATTTATTCATGAGAGTCACAGAGAGAGAGATAGAGAGGGGTAGAGATACAGGCAGAGGGAGAAGCAGGCTCCATGCAGGGAGCCTGATGCGGGACTCGATCCCAGATCTCCAGGATCACGCCCTGGGCCGAAGGCAGTGCTAAACCACTGAGCCACCCAGGCTGCCGGATATTAAGCCTTTGACTGTCATATATTAGCCCAGATTTCTTTTTCCCAGTACACCTAAAAATTTTTTTATTATGTCTTTGAAAAACAAAAGTTTTATAATTTTATATAGTTAATTCTGTCCGTCTTGTTCTTTAAAGCTCCTGTTTATGTGTTCTACTTAGAACTAGGTCTTTCACTGCCCAATATTATAAAAATACTTGCCTAGTTTTATTTTCTTTTGGTACTTTTTAACACTTTTGAGAGCATTTCTGGAGGACAATCAAATGATACTAATGACTTTATTAAAATGTTTATTTTACAAGAAATTCCCTTTTGCAAGAAATTCCCTTAGGATTTATCCTCTAATAGACACAAAGTTTTAGTTTTAAGGACAGTCAATAAAAAACTGTTTATAATGGGCAAAAATCCTGTAAATGGAAAGTTCAAAAATAGCAGGCTGGTTAAATCAATTATGGTATATCCATAGCCATTAAAATTACACTAAAAATATTTAATCATAGTAAAACATATTAATAATACAAGCACAAATATGCTAAAGCCCAATTCATAAACACCAAAAAACAATTTTAGCCAGGCACAGGAAAAGAAGACTGTATTTACCTAATAGCGGATAGTTTTGGAAATGAGTGATCTTTTTTCTTATTTTTTCTCCTGTGAGCATGTTTAAAGTATGAAAAAAAGCTTAAAATTCAGTGTAAGCCTATAATAATGCAGATATGGTGTATCATGTGTATTTTAGTAGTGAAGGGTGCCCTAGACTAGAGGCTGTCTTCAAACATAAAGTACAACTTTTGCCTCATTCCGTAATCTTGAGCAAGTTGCTTAACTTTTGTTCTTGAGTTTCCTCTTCTGTTAAATGAGGATAATAATACTTGCCTTAATTTAACTTACAAGGCAGTTGTGTAGACTGTAATTTACTGTAAGGTACACAGAAATGGTGTTAATAATATTATTTATATTCAACTACAGGATTATCATTGCTTTTTTGGCTTAAACCCCTTTCTTGAGGCATGACTAACCTACAAAAAGCTATACGTATATATTTCTTAAACCTTTTGTTTCTTCTATTATTTTTCAAAGTTTAATTATTATTATTTTTTTTAGTAATCTCTAGACCCAATGTGGGGCTTGAACTCACAACCCTGAGATCAAGAGTGGCATGCTATTCTGACTGAGCCAGCCAGGCACCTTGCTCATTTAATGTATACATATTGATAAGTATGGAAATAAGTATACACTTGTGAAACCATCACCACAATCTATGCCATAAACATATCCATCACCTTCCGAAGTTTCCTACTGCTCACTTTATTACTTTTTTGTGATAAGGACACTTAAGACCTACCTTCTTAGCAAAATTCTCTACAGTACAGTATTATTAAATATAGGCACTATGTTATACAGTAGATGTCCAACACTATTCACCTTGCACAACTGAAACTTTGTACCCTTTGACTTAGTATCTCTCATTTCCCTCTCCCCATCTGAACCATTGGCAACCATTACTCCACTTTCTGCTTTTAGGAGTTTGACTAAACACCTCATAAAATTAGTATCATGTAGTATTTTTCCTTCTGTGTCTGGGTTATTTCACTTACCAGACTTGCGTAAGTTTTATCCATACTGTTGCAAATGGCAAGATTTCCTTTTTTTTTTTTTTTAAGATAGACTATTCCATTGCATATATATGATTGTTTTTAATGTAAATGCAATGGAAACATTAGTTCAATACCTTTAAAAATATGCTTTTTACTTAGTAAGGAAAGAAAAAAGAAGAAACAGAAGAAGTTGCCTACCAAAACAAATTGCAAGGAAAGATAAATTATTCAACAAACATTTGCTAATTGTCTACTATTACCCAACTGAGATTGGGGTAGGGGGTTATAGGAGTGAGTAACAGTTACCATTTTCAGATACTTCATTCTGGTGGATGACACATATCAAACCCACAGACAGAATCATAGGTCATTGTCCCTAGAACCTTAAAGAGGCAACGTGCCTCTACCAAGGCAGCAAATGACAGTCAAGTTTGGCTATCAAAGATCCGCTGACCAAGGCATAGGATCTCAGCCTCACAGCAGTTATAGTGGGACAGGATCAAGGTAGCCTACAGCACTTTTACATAGCCTAAAGTGAAATTAGGGGATAAATTGGCTGGGGAATGCCCCATTCTTGAGGGGTTCCCCTGGTAAGCATAAAGGGGAATCCCCTTAAATATGGTAGAAGCCCCAACAGCAAATGTAGGGGCTAAGCGGAGAACAGATCCCTGCTTGCTAGCAGGAGACTGGAAGGGGTGGGGGAATTCTTAAAAACTCCATTTACAGAACAGGAGATCCCCTTCTGTTACTCAAAGTTCCCTTGTAGGGCTGTTTTGAGACATTTGTGTGTTCTCTGCTCTTCTACTTTGCTTCTGATTCCATCTTCCTTAAGGTTTAGAGAAAGACAACTGAATACATATCTATACAGGAAAAATGATAAAAATATAAACATACCCCCCCCACACACAGTCAGCGCTATTTGGCTGTGAGAAGTTCAGCAGTCCTAGAACTTAAGTCATTTATTTGTACCGTTAGAATCTAGTGTTCATTCATAGTTGGTCCAAGTTTAAATTATAATTCCAGACAGAAAACAAAGGTGGATTTTACAAAATAGGAGGTAAGATGTATGCCTGAGAAAAATACAGTCCGGACACAATTCACACCATTAGAGAGGGATTCAAACACTTCTGGAGACTCTGTTGCTACCAGAAAGCGAAAATAATAATACTAGCATAAACTTACATAGTGCTTATTGTGTACCAGACATATAAATGAAAAGAAGCAAAGCTATGAATTTAATAGTTTGGGAGTGAAAACAATTTGTAAAGTTGAAATAAAAATTCTTAAGTCCACTTTCACTTACCATTACTTTAATCCTAGGTAGCAATTAACTTCAATAATTCTTTTCATGGGGGAGGCAGCAGTGGTTAAAATACAATAAATAATGCATTTATTTGCAAAGTGCCTGGAATTGAAAAAATGCATTAAGGACAAAGTACAGTTATTATTACAACATTCTTCCATATATCCATGGAAGGGACATATTATATGCCTCCAAGCGGGCAGAATCCTTTCTTCTCCAAGGTACAAATTAAGTCAGTGTCACAATTCTACTCCCTCAGACTTTCCAACAGCTAAAAGAAATAAAAATAAGAAATAAAAATAAAAAATAAAAATAAAATATAATAAATAAAATTTAAAAATCCAAAATAAAAAGGAAAAAAAATTTAAAAAAAAAAAACCCCACAAAAACAATAAACCACAAACAGTACCAATCTGAGGATCTCTATCAGAATTTCAAGCTGTTGATCACTGGTAGGCAGGTGACAATATGATTACTACTGGAAAAATAACTCAAAGCCAAAATCTTTTTGTGGCAGGTTAATAGTATTGTGCTTCACATTAAAATCACATCTCATCTTAAGATAGAACTAACATTTTTTGATATATAATATTGTTCACTTATACAGACACTACGATCATAGTGAATTAACAGGAAGTTGATTGAATAAATCTATAGGATCGACAGTATGAGTCTCAATATGAATGCATGTGTTCACCCATTGAAAAACGTTAATACTACTGGTATTTTATAATGTGTCTGAGGAAATCTGTTATTTAAAGTTAATCTTGAGACACATACCATATTCCATACTCCACATTATATATTCAGATCTTTAAATGTCTTTATTTTAAAAACAGAAATTTCAAGGAAACAGAATCATAAAACTAGAGGGCCTAAAAATCGTTTAACACAGGCTCTTTATTAAACATATAATTTCCTATCAATACATAATGAAGAGGATTAAAGCCTCTAATAAACAATTTGTAAGTTTAAGAGTCTGTGCATATTTTCAAGTTTTTCTATGCACATCCTAACATATACTAAGGTAAAAAGTGTACCCTGCCATATAAATGTCCTTTCTTCCTTTTTCTTTTTTTCCCTTCCTTCCTTTTTCAAGAGTAATCTTGAACATGTTTCCTATTAGTTTGCGATTGAACTCTCAGCGTCACTATATTCCTTCAAAAAGTCAAAGAGCCTCGCCATAGTTTGAGAACGTCCTTTTTTTTTTTTTTTGAGCCTGAAATAGGCTTGAATAGAAGTAACTGAAGATTCAGTTTCACGTGTTAAAAAAACAGTAGAACGAGTCCAGACCCTTTAGAATTTTCGAAATCGAGCACACTAAAATGTCAAGAATATAGAGGGAGAAAGGGCTCTAGGCTGGAAAACCTAATTTTGGGGGGGGGGGGCGGGGGGGGGCGGGGAGAAGACTCGACCGAGGTTTTGAGTTTTCATTCCTAGCTCCAGCTGTTCTTCTAACCATTCCAAATGCCGGATGCAACGTAAACAGTTCGAAAAAATAGAAAAATAAAAAAAAAACAAAAAAAACAAAAAAAGCTTAATAACGAATCCTTGCCTTCAGCTTCACGATCCCCGGGAGCCGCGCACGGCGTCGGTCTTAGGCAGACTCCTCCCCGCTCTCGGGGAAAACCCGGCCTAATATTTATAACGTTATGACATACTGTAATACTCACAAGGTGGTTGTAGAAAGTATAAACACGACTGCGGGTGTCTGATTGGCTGGTGGTGATGTAACACCCATGTCAATACTTCCCAGCGAACGCACGTGTTCGACCTTTTATTTAAATTTCCATTTCATCACAGCAATAAGACACTCGGGGCGGCGCATTTTCTGTTGAAATGAGGATCGCCTCGGGCCGGAGGTGCCGCCTCGCGCGCACCGGGCTGCGGGCCGGGAGGTGTCGGGGGCCGCAACCTCCTCGCGTGAGACGCACCGCCCGGGCCGGTCTTTGTGAAGGAACAAAATTAAGTTCACTTCCTCGGGCACCGCCACCCGCCCCCCCCCCGCCCCCCCGCCCCCCCCCCTTATAGCAAATGACAAGGCTGGAAGCGCGGCTCCCCACCGCACGGGTGGTGCCAAAGTCCCAGGTGAACTCGTGGCGAGAGAAGGAAAAAATGTGCGTCCCGGGCGCGGGTAGGTGCGTGCGGGCGGCGGGGAGGCGGCCAGACCCTGACACTCGCCAGCTGTTTGTCCTCCGCGTAGCCCGCCCCGGCCCCGGCCGCACACGCCCGCCCCGAGACCCCCGGCCGCCCGCCCGGCCTTTTGTCCCCCCCCCCGCCCCCCGCCCCTCGGCCGACTTCCTTCCCCCCCGCCCCGGCCGCACCCCCGCCCCCAGGCCGGAGGCGCGGCCCGGCCCCTTTCCCGGTCCCCTGGCGCCCCCACCCCACCCCGGCCCAGCCCCAAGCCCAGCCCCCCTCCCCCAGCCCGGCCCCCACCCTTTCCCCCTCCAGCGGTTACTGCTACCCCGGTGCATTGTGGGCGCACGGTCCGTTGTTCATTTGCCATTCGACCTCCGCCGGGGCCTGGTCGGACGGAAACGCTCCGCCGGCTTTATTGTCGGCTCGGTATGTGGCGGAGCCCGGCAGCCTAACGTGCCTCCCGCGCTCGGCGCCTGGGGAGCCGGCGGCGGCGGCGGCGGGACGCCTCGGCGCGCCGGGGGCAGGGTCGGTGTGTGTGCGCGCGGCTCGAGAGAGGGGGCAGCGGAGGGTCCCCCCGCACTCCGCCTCTCAACTTCCAAGGCCCCGCGCGCCCCCCGGCTCGCGGCTGCCCTCTCCGCCGCCCGCCCCCTTCTCCGCGCGGGACGCTGCCCGGGGCTCTCCGCGGGGGCGGGGGTGGAGGACGAGGCGGCGGCGGCGGCGGCGGCGGCGGCGGCGGACGCGTGAGGCAGCCCCGGGAGCGAGCGCGAGCCGGGCGGCCGGGCGGGAGGGCGAGGGCGAGGGCGAGGCCCGGCCGCGCGAGACCGGAACGCCGGGGGCGGGGGCGGGGGCGACGCCGAGGGGGAGCGGCGGGGAGCGCGCGGGACGCGGCCCGAGGCCGGGCGCGAGCCGGGGCACCGGGCGGCGGCGGCGGCGGCGGCGGCGGCGGCGCGCGCCATGTCGTTCAGTGAAATGAACCGCAGGACGCTGGCGTTCCGAGGAGGCGGGTTGGTCACCGCCAGCGGCGGCGGCGGCGGCGGCGGCGGCGGCTCCTCCACGAACAATAACGCGGGCGGGGAGGCCTCGGCTTGGCCTCAGCCGCCGCAGCCGAGACAGCCCCAGCCGCTAGCGCCTCCGCAGCTCAATGGGCGGGGGGCCGACGAGGAAGCGGAATTGGAGGGCCTGGAGCCCCAGGACCCGGAGGCCTCCGCCGCCGCCGCCGCCGCCGCCGCCGCCGCCGCCGAGGAAGCCAAGGAGTCGCTGCTCCCCCAGGACGCGGGCGGCCCCACCTCGCTGGGCGGCGGTGGCGCCGGGGGCCCCCTGCTAGCGGAGAGGAACCGTCGGACTCTGGCCTTCCGAGGCGGCGGCGGCGGCGGGGGTCTCGGCAACAATGGCAGCAGCCGCGGCCGGCCCGAGACCTCGGCGTGGCCCCTGAGGCATTTCAATGGGCGAGGGCCCGCGGCCGTGGAGCTGGAGCTGGACGCGCTGGAGGGGAAGGAGCTGATGCAGGACGGCGCGTCCCTGAGCGACAGCACCGAGGACGAGGAGGAGGGGGCGAGCCTGGGCGACGGCAGCGGGGCGGAAGGCGGCAGCTGCAGCAGCAGCAGGCGGTCGGGCGGCGATGGCGGGGACGAAGCGGAGGGCAGCGGCGTGGGCGCTGGCGAAGGAGAGACTGTCCAGCACTTCCCGCTCGCGCGGCCCAAGTCCCTGATGCAGAAGCTACAGTGCTCCTTCCAGACCTCCTGGCTCAAAGATTTCCCCTGGCTGCGGTATTCCAAGGATACTGGCCTTATGTCCTGCGGCTGGTGCCAGAAGACCCCGGAGGACGGGGGCAGCGGGGACCTTCCGCCGGTGGGGCACGACGAGCTTTCTCGAGGGACCCGAAACTACAAGAAAACCCTGCTTCTGAGACACCACGTCTCTACCGAGCACAAACTCCACGAAGCCAACGCCCAGGTACAGTATATCCCGCTCCTTACTTTTTTTTTTTCCAGATCTTTTTAGGGAAGAGGTTTGTCGGCTAGAAAACCCCACCACTTTCTTGGGTGAAGGCATCGTTCCCGTCGTGGCACTGCGGAGAGCTGATGCGTGGGGGGCGGGGGGCGGGGGGCGGGAGGGGGGTTTAGGGAGCCTGGGAACAAGTTTTCAGAAGTTTCCTCTGCGTTGGGGGGTGGGGGATGGAATGACAATTTTCCAGCCGTAGCGCTGATTTTATTTATTTATTTATTTATTTATTTGGCTCCATTCTTTGTCCATCAGATTTGCGTTCTTAAAAAAGTTTAAGAAAGCAAGGTTGAATGAAGGCTTTAACCCTAAAAGGTTGACTTTGCGGTCAAAAATGTTTATTAGCTGTGATTTTTAGAAAAGCTGCCTTAACGTTTCATTAGTCGTTCAGCGTGCTGATGGAAGTCAAAATATGGCAACTCTTTGAAGAATGAATTAAACAATTTCCTTAACCTTTGACGCTAACCCTTTCAGGAAAACATTCAACTCAGAAAACTCTTTACATCAGGTCGGGATAATGTGAAATATGAGAGCAGCATGTAAATGTAGAGGAAGCTATTTGGATAACACTCCTTGTGAATAATTTTACTAAATTCCTCTCCCTTGAACTTTCTGTTGAACTTTCTTACCAGAGGCATGCTTTTGGTAAACTACTGGAGTTTTTACTTGTTTCTTCTACTACCCAGATCTTTTGCGCTGAGATTTTTCTGAAATCCCTTTTTTAAAAACGTTCCCTGTACATGCAGTTTATTTTAGACTTTGCAGATGTTTGTGAGGTTATTAGTTCTATCAGGTAGTAGGCTGGTGTAGGATGTGTTCACTGAACTCCTTGAAAAGCATAAATCCTCAGTTACAAAACAGATAAGCTGTACTCTAGTTGTTATTTCTTGTTTTAATATTTCCAGTTTAAAGATAGTAGGCTTGCCAATTTGGTGATTCTTTTTCAAGCCAAAATAGATGTCAGGCAGTTCTCATTTTAATACTTTCAGACAACCTGTGTGGCAGATGGAATTCATTCTTTTGTATTGGTTAGCCAGTCATTGATTTGAGAAAGTCAGCTTTTAGGTATTAGTCCTGCTATGTGTTTATTGGAGTAATCTTGCTGTTCAGAACACTTACACTGGAGTTAATTAGGTACTATCCCATAACCCTCAAAGCACGGTAGCTTTTCTGAAGTTAACTTTAAAGCATTGGGTTATTTTTCCCAGTGGAGAATGGCAATAGTTTTTTGCACAAATTTTAGTTGCCTAAGGCCTACAAGGAAGGTCACTCAAAGATGTACAGTCCCAAAAAGTTAAGTAAATTGTCCTAAGTCTCAGAGTCCTTGATGATAACAGAGACTAGAGCCTATAGGGAATGTTGTAATGGAAAAAGAGTGGGTTTTGGAATAAATCCGGGTTCAGATCTCAGCTTTGTACAATTACTAGCTTTGTGAGCTTGGGCCGTGGAGTGAAATATAACATTGCTTTGTGTCCTGTATGCCAAGTACACATTACCTTCTTTACTCCGCTCTCTTATTTTATTATTATTATTATTATTATATGGATGCAGAGTCAGAGGCTTTAAAGAGTTAATAAGTTATGTTGTGAGATGATGGAGATGGGGGACTTGTGAAAATGAAAGCGTACTTTTCTAAATAATGGTAGGTCGGTTATTCGGAAAATTTTAAAAAGACAATTAGAAGGAATGTTCTTAATATACAGTGGGCCAGTTACTCTTATCAGCATAGTCTGTCCCTGTAGACCAATCTGAATGGGAATGCAAAATATAATTAGCTGCTTAGTGAACCTGAAATCAGAGGAAGGGGAATTAGTTGGATAACCTTACGATAGATTTCGTGTGGTGTATCCTTCTCCCCTAGGCGGTATCATCTGGATCAGGGGATTCATTCCCTAGGTAAAATCTTTTCTAAATTTGATCTTTGAATTATCCTTCCTTTTCCCTTTGACTCCTCAAAAGATAAAATATCTTTTTATAGGTACAATCTGCACACCATCTTAGGACATTCTTTTCATTAGGCTGAGGACAATTAGTAAATTTAGGAAATTGTATATCTAAGGATATATATTGGTTTCCTCCATTGGATTTTGGATGTTTCCACTCTGAATTGATCCTAATTTTTCTATTATTCTTTGTAACGTTAGTTTGGGTGTTGACCTTATTAGTGTTATCGCAGGTACCACCAACATATCTCTTTGTCTTGTTAATATGAGTGACCTGTTCAAGAATTGACTTACTCATATGGGCAGAGTTCAGTTCGCCTTTTTTTCCCCCCTTGCCCTGTAGCCTTTGACTACCTGCAGGAGGCAGTATAACACAATCTGTAAGAGCATTCTTGGGCTTAAGGTTAGGGGGACCTGAATCCTAATCATCTTTCTTGGCAGGCAAATGAGTTAACTTGTACTTCCCCTGTATGTGCGAAGTATATCTGCCAGCGCTTAGTAAATGCTAGCCATTGTTTATTATCATTATGTATATTAATTACTGATAACAAGTATTTTTGGTAGCCTGGTATCATATGTCTCAGCGTTAACAAATTTTGACAGTTCAGAAACCACTTTATCTCATGGCATCAATCCTAATTCAGGAGAATAAACCAGTTCTCCTTTTCATACCTTCAGAGACTTTGGCCATCTAGTTTTTTGAACATTCTGAGACTTTCTCATCCATTCAAATTCTTTCACCACTTGTAAGAATACCTTACAATAGCTTTCTCCTGTCCTGAAAATGAGAGTTCTGGAGTTCTTCAGGCAAGAACTCAGTTTGAGGCTAAGGGTAGTTCACACCCTTTATTCCCCTCAACTCCTCCCCAGTTTTTGTTTTGTTGTTTTTTTGTTTTTTCAGAGGGATGATTTTTGAGAGGAGACTGGCTAAATCTTAGAATATCATTAAGTGTTACTTTTCTTAGGCTTTCTGAAAGTAAGAAAAATTCTTTTTCATTAAATCGGACCAAAGAATTAATAGCACATTCCTTAAAAGATTGTTCTTCTGTTAATTGGGTGTTGCTTGTCAAGACTGCTCATGGAAGAGTTAAAATATGCTCTCAGAATGTTTTCTGAGTATTCTATTTCAGAGAGATCCCTATGTTCTTTATAAGGTTGTAAGGGGTGATGCAGAGTTTTTATTTGAGTAATAACTGTCTTTATTGAGGGGAGTTCAATGATTAGCTCATAGAGGATTTGGCCATTTGGCCCACAGGACTTTTAAAATTGCTTTAATAACAGTGGTTACCACTGTCTCTTGGTTTGGATCACTTTCTACCCAATTGTGAAATTTTCATAGTGTAAATCACACATTTTGTCGCCTCTTGCCAGTTTACCAAGTCTGAAACGTATTGTTAATAAATTTCATTAATCTTTCTAGAAAGTAAATACTGAATTTAAATCAGTGATCTGATTGACGTTACTAGTGAAAATATGTTGGTCAGCAACTAAAGCAAAAGTGAGGTGGTTTACCAGCTTTCTATTTGACAAAAATAAGGCTTAAGGGCTTTTTTTGTTTTTAACAATTTAGGAAGAAAGTCTGAAAATATTAAAGATAAGATGCACCTCGTGGCTCAGTTAAAGTGTTGGGCTCTAGATCTCATGGTCGAGTTCAAAGCCCTGCGAGTTAGGACTCCACACTGGGTTGTAGGCTACTTCAAATAAAGAACCTCTGGCCCAGGAAATAAGCCTTTTGTGTAATAATATTTATATAGGTTCTAACTTTCATTATGTTTGATTGAGCTGGTTCATTTCCCTCGTGTTTCTGACCTCTTAGTAGTGTCTTTGACTATCCATTATAGTCAAAGCCAATCTAGGATTGGCTTCTTTCTTCCTCTTAAATTTACTTACATTAGGTAGATCCAAAGCACTGGAGATGAAACCTGTAAGTGAGACATTTTTTCTGCTCTCAAAGAACTTATGACTGTCTGGGTAAGAAGAGACAAATACAATAAAATGACATGTACCATTTTAGAAGTATCTTCAGGTTACAGTGAAAACACTAAAGGATGTCATCAATTCTACTTGTAAAGTTTGGGAGAAGCTTATATAACTGGCTCTTGAACTTCATTGTGTTACATGAATAGGTGTTCAACAGGGAAGGAAGGGCATTCCTGGCACTTCAATTGGAAGCAGCATTAACAAAACAAAAACTGATGTCTGAGAAGTGGTTAATTTGGTTGTTGAGCAGGATGAAAAATCAGGTTTGAATAGGTAATGAACTATGGAGGGTCTTTTGTCATGCTAAAATGATATTTTATTCTGTAAACAAATGGGCAAACTAGCAGTTTTAAATGGGAGGATCATGAAGAAATATGTTGCTGTTCAGAGATACCTGTGTAGTTATGTTTTGAGAAGAGAGCTGGTAATAAAGTATAGCTTTGATAATCTAAAATAGCCTGGAGGTTAAAAACACCTGAAGATTTCCACCACTGGACCTATAGAATTAGAATTTCCCATTTTTTCCCTAAAATTTGGATTTGGAGGTGGAATGTTTTTACTTTTTCAATATAGCATTCCAGTGGGCTGCTGCAACAAAAGTAATAAAGATTGTTTTTAATGCTTTCCGTTTACACTTGGATGTTTTGCATTGGAAATGGCTTTTTTTTTTCTGCTAATCCCTTTATTGAAAGGACTATAATCCTGGGTAGGGAAAGTAAATACTAATTACTTGTTGATTTTTTAGCTAAATAGTATTTTCTTATCCTTTGTGGATTGACGACACATGAACTCACTGTTTGCAACTGAAGTTCTCTCTCCAACTCTTTTTCTCATAAGGGTAGGAGAAGATTGGTTGGTGGTCTTGGGTTCTCTGCCAGTTGGTGGCATTTTCTGGCCTCCCAAACTAGAGGTGCTGAAGGTTGACTTTATGGTTCCCCAACCTCCACATCTAGTTGATCGTTCAAGTTCTTTTTTTTTTTTTTTTAAGATTTATTTATTTATTTATTCATGAGACAGAGGCAGAGACATAGGCAGAGGGAGAAGCAGGCCTCCTGCAAGGAGCCCAATGTGGGACTCGGTCCTGGGTCCTGGGTCCTGGGATCACGCCCTGAGCCAAAGACAGATGCTCAACTGCTGGGCCACCAGGCGTCCCAGATCGTTCAAGTTCTGTTGATTTTTATCTTCCAGATACTTTTCCAGGTTCTGACTCATCACCCCCTCCCCTTCCCTTAACGTTATCCATCTTAGGTTAGTTAAGGTCCTGGTTTCTTGTAAATTTGTTGCACTGTTAACACTACCTCCCCCTGGTCACAGTATCTTTAGTTTTAGTTCCCTGATATTAATCCCCTACTTTACTGTCATATAGCCACCTCTTACATCTTCCAAGCCAATCAGATCACTGCTTTAAAAGCTCTGTAAGGCACCTGTCATAGTGGTTTTTAATCTTGTGGGGGAATTTGAATTTCTTGGTAACTGATGGAAGCTATAGACCTTTGCCTCCAAAAATGTTCCTTAAGTGTATACTTGAATTTCTTGGGCTTTTGGTGGGGGGACCACCTTGAAGTTCTTTCATAAATCTGGAATTGTGAGGATGCCCTAAGATTGTCTTGTTTCCTTTTATACTGCTTTATCTACTTAGAATGCTCATCCTCCCTTCTCACTTTTCACCTTCTGCTCTGCTCAGATCTTGCTTCCAAAAAGCACCCCACCACCACTGCCTTCCTAGATAAACCTCTCTGCTCTCCTAATAACTTTGTTACACTCTGTAGTACCTTAAGAGTCTTGCCCACTAGTGATTTTCAAGTTGTGAACTATACTTATTTTGGGTCCCCAGTTGTAGAATTTATCTAAAGTAGGCATTCACTTAATGCTTATTAATAATTGAGTGAAGTCAGGATATTGGAGCCCTTAGCAGCTTTTTCCTCTGAATAAAATACTATTTTTTTTTAGCTTCTCTGGAAGTAAATTTAAAGTAAAGATACTTTACTCTGGATTTAAAGATACTTCTCTGGAAGTAAATTTAAAGTAAAGATACTTTACTCTGGAAGTAAAATTAAAATTAAAAGAATTTAATATCTTTAAATTCTAATAATTTTAGAAGAGCTCATTCTAAGGTCTGTTCCAGATCTAAAATTATAATTTTACTTGTGGGCATCTTCACAAATAAAAAGCTTGAAGACTTTTCACATTTATAGAATCTTTGATGTAACATAGTCTGATTTTTGAAGTCTGAATGTCCATTTTCCTAAAATCTTTAGACTAATGTCAGGGCTAAGTTGTGTTTTCCATTTTGGGAAAAGGAATGGAAAAGTTTCCCAATATCTGAAAATACCAGTTCTAGAAACACTTGAATATTTTCATCAGTATATTTTTACATATCAGCGAACTCATGTTATCCATATATTCAGAGTGCACATTCAGAATGTTAAAGAAGGAACCAGAGACAGAGATGGTATGAGTTCTTAAGGAACTACTTAAAGATTTTTGTTTAGATAAGATTTTAATTTATTTAGTTCAGCAAATACCAGCAGTTTGTTTTAATGCAGTGTGCTTATTTAAGCTCTGTTTTACCCAAATGCCCAAATAATACTCCCCTCTGAGAGTACACATACTCTTGACTTGGAATCCCTTCACTGTGAAGAGCGGATTTAGTAGGTGCTACAGAAACAAGGCACAGTGCTGTAATCAGTAGTGAAAAAGAAATTGGTGGTGTTGCTCATAAAAGCAAAGAACATTATTCTTGTAAAACAGTAATAGAAAAAATAGTGGTTGAATAGTTTTGTTTGATTTGTATAGTTTGTGTTAAAATAGAATGGGCAAATATTTTGGTGGGTAGGCTTTTGTCTGAGTTATTTTTAAGAATTAGGACATTTGGTCTGATAATGGCTGAGAACTTCAGAAATTGGGACGGGCCCAGAAAATGCAGAACACAGTGACCATAGCCTAAAAATGACTGCTACAGTTAGACATAGTCTCCTTCTGAAAGGTTTGAACTGCCAGATGTATAAACTCCAGGTGGATTCTTGATTAGTATAAATGCTAATTTCACTGCTTCCACAAATACTTCATGATGTACTGCCAAATTTTGATCAGTGCTTAAAATTGTTGTTTCTTCCAAGTATTTATACTGTTATTGCAACATTGGAACTTTGAACCGAGTGAGCTTTTGCTGAGCAGGTATGGCATGCATAGCAGAGCTTAGTTTCAGGCCGGCATGAATGGAAGATTCTTCAACTTGGGATATTTCTTTAGTGAGGGGCAAGTATAAGCAAATTAGTAAAAAGTTTTATTCAAATAGTCTCAAAAGGGACATCAAGTAAACAGTATGATACTTCTATAGAAAATTATATTGTAGCGTTAATTGTAGGTGTTTTTAGTATTGTTTTTTTGCTCTTTATATAGTCACAGATTTTTCATTCCCTATTGGTAAAGCATTTGATATTTCACAACATACTGGCTTATGTGAGCTCTAAGGTTAAAACAGTCTTTTTTAATCGCACTTCCTTCACACCTTCAAAAGCAAAAATTTGGAACTTACATGTGAATTATTTGTTTTGCTTATTTGACTCAGATCTTGGCTGTTACCAGTTTTTGAAGACGGGGTATTTCGTAGGATGTAAAAATAGCTAATTTAGAGCATGAGGCTTTTTGGTATGATCAAGAATGTGAGGGAATAGAGTGTTACAGTGTAAGGGCATTAGGGGCCTGAAGCACTCAGAAGGTAATAGATTGCCAAGGGTCAGCTGGAAACGAAAAGGAAAATCTCGACTTACCATGCATTCTTCAATAGTGATCATATACCCCAGGTTTGCAGGGTTATCTGTGTACTATTCCATTACCCCTGTGGAATACTGAAGGGACGTGGAATTCTGATATTTTCCTTCTTAAATGAACCATGTGACTTGGTTTAGTTTCAAGGGAATTGAAATTGTATGTATGGTCTCCTGTGTTTAGTACTCAGACTTAAACCTAATATTTTTGTAATTTAGCCATACCCATGTGGGGTTAAATGGACTTGTGATTGCTTAGGAACCTCACCACCAATTAAAATATTATTTCCATGAAAATTCTTTTGCAGTCTTAACTGTGTTCCCAACACCTTTCAATTTTTTTTCTTGGAGTCCCCCTTCCTCTCTTTTCCTCTCCAAGAGTATCAGTCCTCTCAGCATGTTTACAATCGAGTATGCACCTTTCCATGTTTTTCCCCATGCCATATAGTCATAGAAGTGTGTGTCTTTATTTTACAGAAATGGCCTGCATTTAATATTTTATACAAAGAAAATATGGATTTTTTTAACACTTAAGATCGGCATTTTCAGTCATTTCTATTGGAAATATCTAAGCACATTTGATTGGAAAAAATTATCTAATGGCTATTATTAAAATGTGCTATTATTTTATAGGAATTACCGTAACTTTAGTGATGCTAAACAGAACTGTGATGAATACATGTCAGATGGATAGGAAAGAAAATAATAAACTGAGAATTTTGAGTGCCAGGGTGCCTAGCTGGCTCAGTTGGTAGAGCATGTAACTCTTGTTCTCAGGGTTGTAAGTTCAAGCCCTGCTTTGGGTATAGAGATTACTTTAAAAAATAAAATCTTAAAAAAAAATAGTCTTTAAAAAAGAACACAGAAAGGAATTGAGCTCAAGAATTTTACCTTATATTTATTTATGCCCCTAAAAAGATGAGTCATTTTGAAAATTGATTGGGAAATTATATAGCTGGATATTCCTATAGTTGAAATATATTTTCCTATCAGGGTATTTTTTTCCCCCTGCCTATCAGGGTCTTAACTTTATCTTTAGTTAGATTTAATTAACTTCATTGACCTGAACTACTTGATTGGATGTTTGCCAGTGCCTAAAATTTACCTTTTTAGTAGTGTTAAATAGGATAAGAATACCCAGCTTTTTTTTTATTTTTTAATACCCAGCATTTTAACTTGGACATGTTTAAGTTCAGTCAGAAAGGCCACTGCAAAAAAACAAAAACAAAAACAAAAACAAAAAAAACAAACAAACAAAAAAAACACTGCATCTCCTAGCAGTTAAAGAGGCAAACTAATTTGATTTCTACCTCTGAAACTTTATTTTCATAAAAAAGTAATTGCTATTTTAATTTTAAATAATTCTTAATTTGTGTCCTTGGATTATACATAACATGTTATTGGAATGAAATCCTGCTGATCCTCATTCAGATGTGCTTGACTTTCCATATAATAGTGGCTTATGCCAAGCTCTTCACACTTTTCTTCTCAATATTTGGGATTGTGAATGCTACAGACTCAATACATGATTGCTAATGAATTAGTGTATTTGATTAGCGCTTTTTAAAAAGTTATATTGATATTTTCTTTCATTTGGGGATTTAAAAAAATAAAATTTAATATTAATGTTTTCCATCCAATTACAGGAGTCAGAAATACCATCAGAGGAGGGGTACTGTGACTTTAATAGTAGGCCAAATGAGAACTCTTATTGCTATCAACTTCTTCGACAACTAAATGAACAAAGAAAGAAAGGTATTCTTTGTGATGTCAGCATCGTGGTGAGCGGGAAAATCTTTAAAGCTCATAAGAACATCCTGGTTGCAGGCAGCCGTTTCTTTAAGACTTTATATTGCTTTTCAAACAAAGAAAGCCCTAACCAAAACAATACTACCCATTTAGATATTGCTGCAGTTCAAGGTTTTTCAGTCATCTTGGACTTCTTGTATTCTGGTAACCTGGTGCTCACAAGCCAAAATGCCATTGAAGTGATGACAGTGGCCAGCTATCTTCAGATGAGTGAAGTTGTTCAAACTTGCCGAAATTTCATTAAAGATGCCTTAAATATAAGCATTAAATCAGAAGCTCCAGAGTCTGTAGTTGTGGACTATAACAATAGAAAACCAGTTAATAGAGATGGTCTATCTTCATCACGGGATCAAAAAATTGCCAGCTTTTGGGCAACACGGAATCTTACCAATTTGGCAAGTAACGTAAAAATTGAAAATGATGGTTGTAACGTCGACGAGGGCCAAATAGAAAACTACCAAATGAATGACAGTAGTTGGGTCCAGGATGGTTCACCTGATTTGGCTGAAAATGAATCTCAAGGTCAAACAAAAGTGTTTATTTGGAATAATATGGGCTCCCAGGGAATTCAAGAGACTGGCAAAACAAGGAGGAAAAACCAAACTACAAAGAGATTTATTTATAATATACCACCTAATGAAACAAATTTAGAAGATTGCTCAGTGATGCAGCCACCTGTTGCCTATCCAGAAGAAGATTTATCATTCATCAAGGAAGAACCAGGTAAATGGTTTATATACAAAGATATATCTCCGTTTTCATTCTTATGAATTACGGTTGCATATAATCTTGAAGTATATTTTCAAAGTATTTTTTAAACCATAAAAGTAATACACAAATATTAAATTTGAGTGTTCATAATAAAAAGAAAATTACTGGTATAATTTTGATATATCTTTTTTTTTTCCTCTCAGCATGTGTTTCTCAAAGTTTGTGTTGTTAATCAGGTTTTCACCTACATTATTAAGTGGCCCTGTGGGCTCTTCTTCATTTATAATTCTTTGATTTCTCTGATCTTTGGCGCTGTGATCCCTTTTTTTGTGCCCAGTGCTGGCAAAGATAAAATTATGTAATCTTAATTGGAACATAATCAGTTTGTCATTTCAGAATATTTTTGAGATCTGATTAACATTTCTTATTTCCATTTTTTTTGTAATTAAACATTTAAGTGTTTTTATAGAATTTTGAAAATGATGGTGGGATTATTTGTTTAAAGCTACTGCTCTATTCTTGCTATACATATTACAGAAGCTGAAATGTTTTGAATTTGTCCCACTGTTGCCTCATTTTTTTGTTGTTGCCTCATTTTCATTCTCATTTGTTAAGAGAGGGGACTCAGACCTTTCCCTTCACTAATACAACTAAAAGCATATGTACAAAATCTTAGCATATCACATTTCTACTGTGGACTGACTTTTTTTTTAAAACGGGGTAGGGGACCATTGTTACAGAGTATAAATAGAAAGATTTGAAACTTGTCCTTTCCTAAATTTTATTTGAAGAAGTAGCGCTGTGGATTTGAGGTTTTCCTATGCAGACCCCATACTTGAGGTATATGTCTACCACTGTCATTTATGATTTAATATTTGTTTTGCTCTCTCAAAGCCTTGTTAACTATTCAGTGATTTACATGATGATGATTATCTGGGGGTGGAGTACTTCGTTAAAAAGAATCATTGTTTTTGGTTCTCAAAAAAAGCAGAATGCCTTAGTACTGTGAAATGTTTTGGTTTTCTAGGTTTGAATTTAGTGTTCATTGGTTTTCAGATTTACTTAGGTGGAAATCAACATGCCTGCATGATGAATACTATTTACTGATCTTTTCCCTCATACTTATTGACTGTTGTTTAATAATAAAATCCCAGAGGCAGTTTCTTTAAAGTATTAAGGGTAGGTTTTCTTAGCATCACTTTATTTTGGCTTAACTTTTCATATAGAAGACTTTGAAGCAATTCTCAAAAATAAGCTACATTGTTTTTCTGCTACAGAGATTAATCTTTTAACAGTGTAATGGGAACCCTGTGGGGTTTTTTAAATACATAAACACATACATGATTTTAAGGCATAAGCAGGTTTTGGGGGTAGTAATTGGTAAAACTAATCAGCTTATAGCCCAGTTCTTAATGCCACATATAATTGGAGTGATTCAGAGAAGCATTACTGTTGAACCAATGCATACCTTAAAAATAACATTACTAGCTATTAACTCAGCAAGCACCCGTTCAGCTGAGTTTGTATTGAAGGATTAGTTAGATCATAAATTTCTAGTCTTATATGCTTTCAATTTATCTCTTATATCTTATAAAAGAATTCTATTATGTTATGGGTATCACTTTGGTGTCTGAACCTTGCTTAACTGACATTTGATTTTATCAGTAATGTGCTGTATTCCAGTTGTTGAACTTTTTGCAACTTTTCAGTGCCTCTAAATCGGACCTCACTGAATGACAGGAAATGGGGATCTTATAAGAATATTATGTTTAGGATATAATACAGAGCCAGGAGGTAGCAAATTGTACTGTAAAGGACCAAACAGTAAATATTTTTGGCTTTGCTGGTCATTCGGTCAATTACTTAACTCTGCCTGCCATTGTAGCATGAAAGTCGTCCCAGACATAAAGTAAACACAAATGAACATGAATATGCTTTAGTGAACCTTCATTGCCAAACCTTGGAATAGAGCAGTGGGTCTTAATTTTTCTTGGATGCATATTGACATCACTTGGGAACATTGCAGACCATGATGCTTGGTGGGTCTTTCTTTCTTTTCTTTCTTTCCTTTCCTTCCTTTCCTTCCCTTCTTTCTTTTTTCTTTTTCTTTTCTTTCTTTCTTTCTTTCTTTCTTTCTTTCTTTCTTTCTTTCTTTCTTTCTTTCTTTCTTTCTTTCTTTCTTTCTTTCGATTTTATTTATTTATTCATGAGAGAGACATGTCTCAGAGAGGCAGAGACACAGGCAGAGGGAGAAGCAGACTTCTGCAGGGAGCCCGATGCGGGACTCGACCCCCGGGGGAATTCCAGAATCGTGCCCTGAGCCAAAGACAGATGCCCAACTGCTGAGCCACCCAGGCGTCCCTGCTTGGGTCTTTCTAGTAGAGATGGAATTAATTGGTTCTGAGAAACTGCCTGATTGTTGGAATTTTTATAAGCTCTGTAGGTGATTACACTGAAAGTGAAGGTTGAGATCCACTGACAACCCAAATTGAGTCATGATTTGAAAATGATCTCGTACTTACCTACTTATGTGACCATGATCTAAAAATTAAGGTCCTGTCTTCAATTTCATCTTTAGAGTGTAGTATTTATTTTATAGAATAATTATGAATAGTTGTACAAAAGTACAACTATTGTCATTATAGATCCCTTCAAAATTAGACTATTGAGATTATTTAAAATTGGTTTTCCAGCAGGGTGCTTTTTACTAAATTCTGGGAAAGGTAGTCTTAATAGCCTCAGGTTGGCCTTTTTGTTTGAATAATTTAAAAAATACTCTTTTAAGCAGCCCATTCCAGTGTAGAATGATACTTATTAGGAAGTTATTTTATATCGAGCCAAAATTCATTCTTTTACCTTCATGATTCTGCCATTTTTGAGTAGTATAATCTGAGCCTAACCTCTAATCTACCTGATAACCAACCATTCAGATATTACAGATAATAAATATTGCCCCGAGGTCCCTTTTTCTTCTGGGCTAAGTGAATTCCAAGCCCCTACCATTTTTTTCTCACAGTCAAACTTATGTTTTTCACCCAGAAATTTTGGTGTACAGAATTAAGTGGAACTCTGCAGGCAAATTCTGACCAATATAGAACACAGTGGGTCTGTGTTTATCAAGGTTAAGGCCTGTCTCAAGGTCATTGAGCTAGTAAAAATAGAGCAGGTTTCATGTTTAAGACTGTCTCATGTTAAAATGTTGCAAATAATGAACTGGTAGCCTCAGTCTTTTAAAAAATGGGTCCTTTTAAAACCTCAACCATTTTTATGAACTGCACCATCATTAGGTTATACTTTGTTTCCATTTATTGAGAAAATACTGAAAAAGCACTGTGAAATAGATGCTTTTAAATGAATTTAAAACTCTATAAATATCTTAAATCATAGAAAGTTATTGATATGATTTATGAGCGATGCTTGGCATATTCAGATTTGTGAATCCCTTTAAGAACTATGACTTCCCCAGATTCTTAAGCCTAAAGTCTGTAAACCACAGACTCTAAATATTTTCTTGCCACATAATGTTGAAGCTCGTGTTCTGATGTAGGGAATTATTGTTGTAATATGTTGAGATAAGATCTAAGATATTGAGTTAAGGTGTACCCACAAATATCAGGGATTTTATTTAGGTGGATTTTATCTTAAAGAAACTTGCATAGCTGTTACTTGACTCACTACTGTAATTTGCTTCAAATCATTTTTGATATATGAGGATACTTGAAAGTAGAATTTAGGAAAGGTTAGATATAAACTTCTGTTCTTTTTACTGTTTTATTGAAGCTTCTGGAATAATTAAAACTGTCAGGAAAGAATTCTAGGTAATAAAACAGGAAAAAAGGTGTCATTAATGAAGTTACTCTGGTAATATAAAGATTTCAAATCCTTGTCTTGCTGATTCACAACCAGAAAACAAATTTCAGGCAAGTAAAGCATATAAAAATATGAGATTAGAAATTAAGTTGTAGGAGTAAATATAACACCAAAGTCATTTTTATAGTGTGTTCACACATGCTGTTGTTTTATTTTTTTATTTTTTAAAGACTTTATTTACTCGTAGAGACACACAGAGAGGCAGAGGGAGAAGCAGGCTCCATGCAGGGAGCCTGACATGGGACTTGATCCAGGGTCTCCAGGATCACGCCCTGGGCTGCAGGCAGCACTAAACCGCTGCAGCCACTGGGGCTGCCCCATGCTGTTGTTTTAATCAGAGCAAGTCACGTTAATCTCATTGTTGATCTTTTGATGCCCTGTGATCCTAAGGAACATGGTTTTCTGAATCTAGATTTTTCTGTTATTTCATTTACACCAGGAGGTTGCACCTATTGTAAATAATTGCTCATGATGTGTACACATTTAATTTATGCACACGTACATCATTTTGAACAAACATTTTTGAAGTGACTGAACATCAGCAAAACAAAATACAGCAGTAAAGAAGTTAAGTGTGCTACTGAAGAGTATTAATATGGTTGCCCTAATTAAGCTTTTAATTGGCTCTAAAATACTAAGCAGCCTCTCAAAAGGAGGAAACATTTGCCAATTCTGGAGGATGACAAACTTCTCCAGTACTGAATTTTGAAAGGGATTTCTCCAGTGGGGTTTTATATAGTTGATACTATGTAATATAGTAAACAGTCTCCTCAAAAACATTTTTTTTAAATTTTTTTATTTATTTATGATAGGCACACACACAGAGAGAGAGAGAGAGAGAGGCAGAGACACAGGCAGAGGGAGAAGCAGGCTCCATGCACCGGGAGCCTGACGTGGGATTCGATCCCGGGTCTCCAGGATCGCGCCCTGGGCCACAAGGCAGGCGCCAAACCGCTGCGCCACCCAGGGATCCTTCAAAAACATTTTCTAGGAAATGAAGCAGTATATTATATAATTGAGTTTTGTATCTTTAATAAAAGCTGATATAATTCTATATAGATGATTTAACTTTTTCTCAATGTCATACAAACATTCAGATGCAAGGTGATTTTATGTTAGCAAAGAATTTAGAGTTCTTTTAA